GGTTTAGGGTTTGGGTTTACGGGTTTGGGGAGGTCAGGGATTCGGGTTTCTGGGTTCAGGGCTGCGTGCACCGGGGTGGCCACGCTAGCTTCAGATGTTCAAAGCGGGCAGCTTCACCTCACGAAACTTCGGCCCACCAATGCCCGAATTCTGCCTGTTCGAGCAGGCTGAATCGGTCTCAAGTGCGGGCTGAGTAACATTGCAAGGCCTGAAATCTTTCCGAATTCAACACAACTGAAGTCGTTCTTCCGTCTCTCTTAAAGCTAAAGTTTCCGAAGGTTTGGGGCTCAGGTACCCCGGTTTACTGCGAATCTAATCGTGGTCATCACAAAATGACCAGATAGGCTTTAGAACGGCACCTTGGTTAGACGGATTCAGGGAGTCAGGTTGCCAAAGTCGAGTCAAGAGGGTTTGTGTATTTTCTGCTTATAAGCACCCTGAAGCAACCTAAGTACCTTAACTCGAGTGACTGCTTGGTTGCAGGCTGGAGCGATCTGCAAGTCTCCTCGCCAGCCGCGCATGCTTAATTATGGTTACAAGCCCGCAGAAGTTTGTCGTGAAATCCGGGCCAGAGTGGGTTCTCGGATGGCCTGTTGAGGGAGATTTTTCCTTGGAGACGGACCGCCACATGGTGGGCGAAGTCACCAGCTTTCTCCTATCCATCTACCGCACAGGCCTCTTTGAACAAGCCGAACCCTCAACCCTTAAACCCTAAACTCTAAAACCCTGAACCCTCACACCCTAAAGCCCTAAACCCAAACGCGGAACCCTGAACCCTAAACCCTCTGTCACACAGGTCTCCTGAAGAAAGGGGACCTGCAAGCTTGGCGCTTCTACACGGCGTTGATGTCCAAAGCGAAGCTGGGAGCTGCATCGAAACCGTTTTTTTCAATTTCTGTACAGGCTTTATAGGGTGTGTTGTAGGGCTCTATAGGGATTTTGTTTTTGTTGTAGCAAGTAGCACTTTTTTGTTGTGGGTCAAAGCGGCTTAAAGGAAGTTGTACCCGGACTTCCCACCGAACGAGAATCTTTCCCACTTCCTCCAGCGATACAACATGAGCGCTTCGGACTCGTCACAGCTCTCGCCCCTGATGCTCGCAAGCCTGGAGGGCAACTTGAGCGTGATGCAAGCTTTGCTGCGTGAAGGGTGCGACGTTGATGCCGTGACCAAGTTCGAAATCCCTGAAGCACATGTTAACGGCACGAACACGGCCCTGTCTTTGGCCGCGCTCCTCTCTACACCAGAGGCCGTACAGCTGCTGCTTGAGGCACCCTCCCACCCTGCATTCCGGCATAGATTATGGTTTGGGGTTTAGGCTTTGAAGGTTTCACTGGCGTATTATACGTTGAGTGTTGATCTTTGGGGTTGGAGTCTTCAGGTCAGGTGTTAGGGTTGAGGTCTTGGGTTTGGAGACACGTGGTGGGGTCTGAGTGGTGCCATAATCCGCAGTGGGAGCGCACTTGTCGAACATTTTGGCAGGTCTTGAGCATCTGTTCACATCCTAGTTCTTAGGACCTATGTTAAAACCCTAAACCCCGAACCCTAAACCCTAAACCCTATGTTAGTATCTGGGATCCCTTTCTTCTAAAGCTCCCATTGCTTTGGGCCGCTAGCCCCAACGGGGTGAAGGCTTTCCCTGAGCAGGCGCGAGCGTCGGTGAACGTTCCGAAGGCTCAGGGCGGCGTGCCGCCCGTGCAGCACATTCAAGCTTTAGTGTTCTTAGAACTGTTTCTTTTTACTCTCAGAACATAATTCCACAGTGTTATAAAGCAATACCGTATTGATTTTGGTTCGAAGGGAACGCAAGATTAAGTTCGGACGACAGCAGTAGTAAGACAATGACGCTTGATAGCAGGTTTTTTTGTAAGAAGACAGAGCAGTAATGGTGAAAACTATATCAGATCAAAGCCTTAAAACTTGGATTAAGCTTACTGGTGCTTAGAAGGAGTAGGAGAGTCGATCCCTATGATGGTCCCTGCTCCACTCTCCCCTATGCACCAGCACGAAATGCAGGGGGGATCAGATCTGGAGACCGAAAAGGATTGTAATTGAATACTGAAGACTGAGGGCAGCGTATGAAGGATCCACGATTACTACAAACGTGGCAAGTGTGCTTATTTGTTGGAGGTCGCCGGTTTCTAGACACAGCCTGCCTACTCATCAACATAGCGTTGGGCCGGTGTCTACGTTATATCCGTGAAGGTTTGGTGTTGTCGCTTTTTGGGTGCAAGATCTTCAGGACCGTTTGCTACCTTGTTTAGGCCCCCTAAGCCCTTTTGAAGCCAAAGCCCAAACCCCCAAAACCCAAGCACTAAATCCAAAGACCTAATCTTAAGGGTTTAGGGTTTAGAGTCTAGGGGTCGAGGGGTTTGGGCTTAGACCGCACACGTTTTTCCACAACGCCCGAGGCCACTACTGACTCAGGCAAGCTACTTTGGGAACGCTGCAGTTCTGCCCTTGCTGATACGAGCCCGTGCTGATGTCCACGCGAGTTGCTTCGTGGTCGCCGGGGCATTGAGACTCGGGCGGTCGAGGATTTTGATTTTGGATTGATGGTGTTGGCTTTTAGATTCTGCGTATAGATAGATAGATAGATAGATAGATAGATAGATAGACAGATAGATAGATAGATAGAGAGAGAGAGAGAGACATGTACATATATATATATATATGTATGTATGTATACATATATATCTGTATATTGTATATAATGTGTGTGTATGTATATGGTAGAGGGTTAAGGGTTTAAGGTAGACTCAGGTAGAGGGTGCAGGGACTGGAGAGTTTGGGGCTGACTTCCTCAGTTGTCTTCCGGACTTGGCCCAGAGGCAACCAGGCCAGGCTAGCCTGCTGTCAGACAGACACAGACAGATAGATAGATAGATAGACCGAATCTTAAATTCTTACATGTTCGCAATATTTTCTTTTGAGGGGGGGGGGGGTTACGTTCTGTATGGCCAGGCTAGCAAAGCGACCGAAATGGTGTTGCACGACCGCTCGGTCTAGGACAGCACGCTGACATTTGGACAGCGCAACGCCAAATCTGATTCTGTTAAAAACCCTAAACCCCAAATCCTAAACCATATTTTAGCAACTGGGCCGACATAAAAGACTTTAGCTGCTTTCGTTGTCTTACACTTCAGGCCGCAATGACAAGCCTGGCCGCTGGGTTTTGAACAGCCGTGAAGAAGCAACTAGTTTCAGCCGCTAACGTTGCAATCGAACCCAACATCCCAAACTTGCAACCCTACACCCTCAATCCGCGAACCTGAAACCCTAAACCTTATATCCTTAAGCCCGAAGCCCCATTCAGTCTGAGATGCGGAATTTCGGTGCTTTGAACTCTCGTCTCGTTTTCGCGAGCTCTACTGGTTTAGGGTTTAAGGCCTACTGCCGTAGGTTCTGGGATCTGGGAGTTGGTCTGTTTCCTCTTGGTAGGGGTTTAGGGTTCAGGGATCAGGTTTCGAAGACTTTGAGCACGACCAAGGAGTCTATCCGCAACCAGCAGCAATCCGGAGTGCACACGAATCTAGGATGTTCAGTGACACACCTGTTTCAATTTCAAAGCTTTTTGTTTTGTTATGATAAAAGGCAAAGATTAAGAAGTCTATACATGTTCTCCGTGGGCTACCCCTACACCCTAAACTCCTTACTGAGCAAGGAATCCTCCTGGAACATAGAGCAGATCCGAATCTGGAGGGAACTCTGGGTGGGAAGCCGCCACTCGTTTTAGAGAGTAGGGCTTAGGGTCTAGGGGTTGCGCCGTGGTTAGAGTTTGAACATTATGGTTTACTTTGGGACCTAGGGCTTTTAGGGTGGAAGGTTTCACCCCAAACCCTACAAAATAGTAGGTTATGATCCCTTAATTAGAGGGTAGAACTCAAAAGCTGTAGGTTTTTGGATCCCCAGTTCCGGTTTCCAGACTTTTTGGGGGCTCCATTTGGGCGGGCGGAGAAGCTTCCGAGATCTTGCAGTCATTCATCGGCTGCCAACTTGAAGGGTTTAGGGCCGGTTGAGCTTTTAGGGCTTCAGGATTTAGGGTTTAGAGTTTGGGTTTTGGGTTTAGAGTTTAGGGTTTAGGGTTTGCCATTGGCACAAAACAGCGGCGCGGCGAAAGGTTCCAAGACTCTGACCGAACCCCCACCCTAAACCCTGAACCGCCCAGCCCATGTTAGTTTCCGACCCCCAAGCCCTAAACTCAAGGCTTAGGCTGCCCCCAGCAGGCCAGGTCGTTCGCCCCGCCCACAGCACGGAGGTCGGTAGCACCCACGATCGAGGGGCCCGGTACCGGAGCACGTTCTCCTCGTATTCCCTAAACCCCCAAGCCCTTTGCCCCCTGCCCCTGCCCGCTGCCCTGCATGTTGCCCTGCGCTGCGCTGCGTCCTGGAAGGCCCCCCCCCTGACGTGCTGCTGCCCTGCCCCTGCTTGCCCTGCCCTGTTTGCTGGTTTGACGCCTGCCTGCCTTCGCCCTGCCCTGCTCTTGCTGCATGAACGAGCTTCAAGTGAAGAAGAAAACCACAAAGAAGAAAACCATGGAATGAGTTTATTAGAGCCAAACCCTAAAAGGAATAGGTTTGGGTGGTTTGGCCGCCTGAGACGGCGTGGGGTGGGAGAGAAAACAAGGAGCTCTCCACATTCAAGCTCCAGCAGCGAATCGTCAAGCTACGATGCACTCGAATCCACGCTGTCGCTAGGTACTTCCGCTATGCGCCACTCTACAGCAAACCCTAAGCCCCAAACCCTCAGCCCTAAACCCTAAGCCCTAAACCCTGAACCCTGCTTTCCCATCCAAGGCCCAGGACTCTGAAGCCGGGATCCCGAAGCCTCGCACCTGCCCAACCGTAAACTACAGAAAACCCCAAAACTCAGAAGTCCCCAAATGCTTGAAAGCTCTGATCCCAGGCCCTGTTCCTCAAAAGTTAACGGCTTAGGGTTTCGGGTCCCCGGAATGTCCAGACGACTTCGGGGTTTCAGACCGAGTGAGCCCACTGTCCTCAAGCTGGGCTAATGGCTCCCAGAGCCTGATCCTCTTATGCGCATTCCGAACTGAGCTCTTTTGGGATTCGAAATTCGTCCCTGTACTCGCCAGAAACCAGAGCACGCGATGCGATAACAACCCGGCGTCCCAAAGAATAGGGAAAGCGCGTGCGGGATCGTAACCCCCAGAGGCTTTGTATGGCGGCCTTGATGCAAGCAGACGCACGGCACACGCAGCTCTTGTTGGAAGCCCGTGCCGATCCGAACTTCGCTCTTCTTTGGCAGTCTTTCTTTGAGTTGAGGGCTTTGGGGTTTGTTTTCAAAGTCTGTGGAGTTCAGGGTTTAGGGGTATAGGGTTCAGGATCATGGAGGTTGAGGGTCTGGTTTAAGGTCTTTGGGGCTTTGAGTTCGAACTGAGGTTCTTGTCGGAGTCCTGAGTGATGTTCGGAAGCATGCCGCTCTGCGGGGTCTTCGTGCCTGATATCTGGTCGATTTCGCCACAGGGGGCTTCTGTTCTAAGGATTTTGATATTCCGCTCTCGGTTGTTGAGTGTGGGCTGGTGCACCTGAGCCAGAGGAGCCACGACGCTCGCAGGTGTAGGAAGTATTCAACTGCAGCAACTCCTAAGCATCGGCATTAAAAGTGAGATGGGTACGAAAGTCACAAAGGCCTATGGCGATCTCAGCTTGACATCTGTTTTGCAAGCAGGTCTTATGGAGAAGCCCGACTGACCCCTAACCCCCCAAAACCTCAAACCCTCAACCCTAAATCCTAACCCCAAATCCCCAAAGCCTAAACCCTCTAAATCTTAAACCCCCAAATCCCCAAACCCCCAAACCCCCAAACCCTAACCCCTGAACCTTTAAACCCTAGGAATGCCTTCAACCGCAGCAGCTTGGTGGGGGCTCTGACCCTGCCTCTCCGCGTCAAGTACAGACTTGGTCTTCAGGCCCCGGCTTATGTATTCATTTATTTCTTTGTGTGTTTATTCATCTATTTATTTATGTAGTTATTGGTGTATTTGTTTAGTTGTTCGTTTCTCTAATTATTTATGTAGTTATTTGTTTATTTGTTTATGTGTTTATTTATTTCATGCGCTGGCGGCATGCGCTTCGCGGCAACCTGTAGGATTTCTTGCAGTGCCGCATGAGTAAGAAGTAAGAAGACTGCAGGAAGAGGAGCTTAGCACATGTATATTTGTGTACATGGGTAAATAAAAAGAAAAACACATAGGTAAAGCAAACACACAAGTAAACAGTTAAACAAGCAGATAAGTCAGTAAATAAATGATGATGAATACGTGTTTGTGTGTATATATTCATATATATATATATACACATATATATATATATATATGCACACAGGCTGCGTAGTATCCCGCTTGCATTCCTCAAACAGCACAGGGTTTTGAACCTCAGGCAGAGTTATAACCCTTAATCCTGGAGGCATGTCCCAATCCGGACCATGATTTCAGGTATTTGACATATATGTGGTTATTGACCCGTTTATGTAAAGCTACATATTCATGGATGCCCCGTGCAAGCCCAATGTGTTAGAATGCTCAGACTGTTATAGTCCTTGAAACCTTGCAGATGCTAGAAATAGACTGCCATGTAATTATCATGGCCCTGCAATACCAATACTACTGTAAAACACACGATGTCATTCCTCAACGGAGTGTCATAGTTCATACCCGTGCAATTGTAAAAAGATTTGCCAATGATGTTTGGAAGAAACGTTGCTACAAGTTTGTCTATGCACCAAGAGATGGTTCC